TATCATGTCATTTTTTCCAGAGTTGTGTTGCTGAACACCTTTTTATATCTTTTAGTCATTCCCGATAAACTGTGAAAAAGCAGTTACCTATTACAATATTTTTTAATTACCAGCCCAATAACATAAGGTATAAAAATCTAGAGGCAATTGAAACCCATTCTCAGGCTGGCAATTCTTGATGTTTCAAGAATGCTAGAATGAAAAATGTCTTAAGCCAGCTCTGGCAAGTTGCCATTTGCCTAACAATGTTTTAATAATGCTTATTGGTCAATGTGTCTAAGAAAGATCCTTAGCCCAATCCTGATGCAGGTAATGTTCTATTTCTGGCATAAATACAATATTCATATTCTATATCTTTACAAATTTAATATATATGTGTAATCTTGGTAGTTTTATTCTGTGGTCACAGTAGCCCTGAACAAGCTAACTTTTCTAAAAAATGAAGTTCCTGACACCTCATTCTTTGATCAGTTTTCACAATATTCTTTTCCCATTGGTATGAATCCCTGTGTAGGGTAGATGTAGCTCTAGCCACTCTAAGGTTGTTACTGGGTATAACACATAATCGTCTGCACATACTGAAGGGAGACTTGGACTTTGTTCTGATTAACCTATTCTTGAGTAAGTACAGGCATGGATGTTTCAAGAATATCTCACAGCCTCAACAAGAGACCTCTGTCTTCTTTATGTGCATCACATCCTGTAAGGCATAAGGAAGACCTTTCAGTTGGATGAGGATATCTCCCTAAAATCAGAGAGGTTCTATGCACATGATATTCCTGGCTAAGATTAGAAGCAGTACTCCTGGGAGAAGTCATCAATCATTCAAAAGAATTTGCATCACTCCAAAATGTCCACATTTACAGATAGGAACCACCCCAAGCATGCAAGATGTGGAGATCAAAGCATAAATTCAGGTTGAGGGCATCATATAACTAAGGTTTGCTGTATCTTTATGCTGGGCTGGATCCATGATTTTCACCATTCCCATCAGAAATGGCAGGATGAACATGGACAGCTTCTCTCTTTACACTAACTCACCCTCTTTCTATTTTAGGATTTTGTTCAACTATGAAGATTTTGAAGTGAGCAAATGATGAGATCACTTTTTTGCATTTAATTTAGGGTGGGATTTGCTTTTGTGAGTAATTTGAACACTAGGGAAAGGATTTGTCTAATTGAATGTGTTGGATGGGTGCAACTTCTAATGGATAATGATGCATAGGTAGTATATATGATAAAAATTTATGTAGCTCTTAGAAATATGAGTTTTGTGATGTATAGCACAGAGATAATAATATTATTATAAGACTGGGTATGAAGTGCTGACAGCCCTAGAACTGAATATGTAGACCATGGTGACCTCAGACTCACAGAGATCTTCTTGCCTCTGCCTACCAATTTTTGGGATTGAAGGTGTGTATCAACTTGCATGACACTAATCTCAATTTTTGGATGTTGAACAAGATACATAGTTCACAGCTGTGTTTAAGTACAGCTTCAGGGAGTATGATGCCCTCTTCTGGCCTCCAACAAATGCATAGTGCCAGAAATTCTTTTTTTATTTTAATTTTAAATAGCTTGCTTCACATGTGAATCCCAGTTCCCTTTCCCTCCCCTCCTCACATACTCCTCCACCATCCCCCCCCATCTTCCCTCCCTATTGCTACATCCTTTCTCATAGGGGATATCTAGAGTCTGTCATTTCACTCAGGGCAGGGTCCAGGCATTCCCCTAAGACTCCAGGCTGAGAGAGCATCCCTCTTTGTGTTATAGACACACGAAGTCCATTTGTATGCCAGGGATAAGCACTGATCCACTTCCCAGGGCCTCATAGGTTGCCCAGGCCTCCTCACTGACTCTCACATTCAGGGGGTCTGGATCAGTCCCATTCTGGCCTCCCAGCTGTTGGTCTGGGGTTCAAGAGCTCTCCCCTGTTCAGATCAGCTGTCTCTGCTGGTTTTGCCAGCTCATTCTTTGCCAATTTGCTCATCGCTCCTCTCTCTCTCTGACACTGGGTTGCTTGGGTTCAGTTCAGTGTTTAACTGTGGGTGTTTGCCTCTGCTTCCATCAGTCACTGATGAAGGTTCCAGGATGGTTATAGACATCAAGTTCATTATCAGGAATGGGCATTCAAGGTGGTCTCTCCACTATTGCTTAGCTTGCCAGTTGGTGTCATCCCATTAATCACTAGAGGTCTCACTGGTGCCAGATCTGTCTTCTAACCTATGATTCACTCTTCCCCCTGTTCTACCCCCACCCAACCTTCCTGTTCCCCCATGACCAACTCTGTCTTCTTCTTCTCCCCCTCTTTTCTTCCCAGCTCCCACTCACCCCCACCCCTCGCCATGTGCTCAATCTGTTCAGAAGATCCTGCCTCATTCCTCCTCTCTGGGGTACCATGCACATCTCTCTTAGGTTCTTTCCTGTTTCCCAGACTCCCTCTGTAAGTGGAAGTGCAGACTGGCACTATCCCGATCCATGTCTAAAATCCATATACGAGTGCGTACCTACCATGTTTGTCTTTTTCTGACTGGGTTACCTCACTCAGGATGGTTTCTTCTAGTGCTATCTGTTACCTGCGAATTTCATGATTCCATTGTTATTTTTCTGCTGAGTAATACTCCATTGTGTAAATGTATCACAATTTCTCTATCCACTCTTCAGTTGAAGGGCATCTAGGTTGCTTCCTGATTCTGGCTATTACAAATAATGCTGCTTTGTGCTGCACCTCCTATGCAGCCTGTATCCGAGAATGTGTGGAGGGGGTCGGTTTTGATGACACAGAGACACATTGGTGGTGCAAAAAACTTTTAAGAAGGCTTCCAGAAGGCTCATCAAGAAGGCTCTACTTTATTACTACCCTGGCTGGTTATATATACCCTGACACCAGAGGCAGTGGTGGGTGGGTCAGGAAGAGGCGTTTCTGTGGGCCAGCCCATATGAGGAACTTATTGCTCAGGGCACTGTATTGTTTTTAGTAAACATTGTCTTGCAGCTGTCTGCTCCCATGCTGATGGGGAAGTGGGCCTCCAGCCAAGGTTTGTTTTTCTCACAGCTATGAACATAGTGGAGCAGATGCCCTTGTTGTATGAATTTTCATCTTTTGCATATATGTCTAAGAGTGGAATTGCTGGGTCTTGTGGTAGATTGATTCCCATTTTCCTGAAGAATCTCCATACTGATTTCCAAAGTGGCTGTACGAGTTGGTACTCCCACCAGCAGTGGAGGAGTGTTCCCCTCTCTCCACATCCTCTCCAGCATAAATTGTCTTTGGTGTTTTTGATTTTAGCCATTCTGATAGGAGTAAGATAGTATCTCAAAGTTGTTTTGATTTGCATTTCCCTCATGGCTAAGAATGTTGAATATTTTCTTAAGTGTCTCTTGGCCATTTTAGACTCCTCTATTGAGAATTCTGTATTTAGTTCTATACCCCATCTTTTAATTGTATCCTTTGGTGTTTTGGAGACTTGCTTCTTGAGTTCTTTTAAATTTTGGAGATTAGCCCTTTGTCTGATATGGGGTTAGTGAATATCTTTCTTCATTCTGTGGACTGCCTTTTTTCTTGTTGACTGTGTCCTTTGCCTTACAAAAGCTTCTTAGTTTCTGGATGTCCCATTTGTTAATAGTCGATCTCAGTGTCTGTCCCACTGGTGTTATGTTCAGGAAGTGGTCTCCTGTACCAACTCGTTGAGTGTCTCCCACTTTCTCTTCTAAGAGTTTCAGTGTGGTTGGATTTTTGTTGAGATCTTTGAGCCATTTGGACTTAAGCTTTGTATAAGGCGATAGACATGGATCTATCTGTAGTCTTCTGCATGCCAATACCCAGTTATGCCAGCACCATTTGGTGAAGATGCTTTCTTTTTTCCATTGTATAGTTTTAGCTTCGTTGTCAAAAATCAAGTGTTCATAGGTGTGTGGGTTAAAATCAGGGTTTTCAATTGGGTTCCATTGGTCTACCTGTCTACTTTTGTGCCAATACCAAGCTGTTTTCAGGACTATAGCTCTGTAATAGTACTTGAAGTCAGGTATGGTGATGCCTCCTGAAGTTCCTGTATTGTATAGGATTGTTTTGTATTGTATAGGGCCTTTTGTTTTTCCATATAAAGTTGATTTTTGTTCTTTCAGGTTCTGTGAAGAATTGTGCCAGAATTTTGATAGGGATTGTATTGAATCTGTAGATTGTTTTTGGCAAGATTGCCATTTTTATTATGTTGATCCTACCAATCGAAGACCTTGGGAGATCTTTCCATTTTCTGGTGTCCTCTTTGATTTCTTTCTTTAAAGACTCAAAGTTCTTGATATGCAGGTCATTCATTTCTTTGGTTAACATTATCCCCAGATATTTGATGCTGTTTATGGCTATTGTAAAGTGTGATGTTTCTCTGAATTCTTTCTCAGCCACTTCATCATCTGTATATAATAGGGCCACTGATTTTTTAAGTTAACCTTGTGTCATGACACTTTGCTGAAGGTGTTTATCAGCACTAGAAGTTCCCTTGAGCAGTTTTTCAGGTCACTTTGAAAGACCCCTTCCCGATATAGCCTACCAGGAACTGTCTGAGTTCACGCTAAGGTCGAGGGCCCCTGGCGCCTCGAGGGCTTGACAAACAGGATATCAGTGGTCGGCCATCTGAAACTGGGGAGTTTCCCATCCACAATGTGCCCGAGATGAAAGCTAAGTCAGCCATCTGCGACTTCCTTGTATTCAAGCCAGGTGGCCCCAGTCTAACCTCTCACCTCATTAAAATTGACCAATGGAAATCCTGTGACCATGCATCCGCTTCTGTACCCATGCTTTTTGCTATATAAAGCATCCCCGTTCCCCATCTGGGCGCGCTTGGTTCCCGAGACCAAGATGCCCGGGTACCCGTGTGTGTGATCAATAAAACCTCTTGCTGATTGCATCCATACGTGTGGCCTCGCTGATCCTTGGGGGGGTCTCTCAGATTGAAAGTATCCCAGGTGTGGGGGGTCTTTCATTTGGGGGCTCGTCCGGGATGAAGACCCCTGCCCAAGGACCACCGACCCACCACTGGGAGGTAAGCTGACAGTGCGGATCCGCTGTTTGTCTGGTGTCTAGTGTCCTCCAGTGTCTGCCCGCCCGATAGTATGTGTCTCTGAAACCGCGCCTGCGTCTGTAGTACTCAGCTGTGTACATCTGTAATTGGCGGTAGGGGAGGAACCGATGGGTTCGTAACCCCCCTACTGAGGCTCCGGGAGACGTCAGTAGGGGGGTTACGAACCCATCGGTTCCTCCCCTTTGCTACTGAGGCAGGTAGGACCCATCTGCGTCTCTATCGCCAGTTGCTCATAGCGGGTCTCTGAGGGGCAGCTTGGCGCCCCACCAATTTGGCTCAGGTAAAACAGGTTTTGCAGCAAGCAGAGGAAACGCCCGCCGCGTTCCTCGAGAGATTGAAGGAGGCATACCGCATGTATACGCCTTACGATCCGGAGGACCCAGGACAAGCCACTGGTCTTGCCATGGCATTTATCTGGCAGTCCGCCCCAGATATCTGTAATAAGTTACAGAGGCTGGACAATTTACAGGGGTATATGGTCCCTGATTTGCTAAAGGAGGCAGAGAAGGTATTCAATAATAGAGAGAGCCAGGAAGAGAGAGAAGAACGTTGGAGAAGAGAAAACATTGAGAGGGAGGAAAGGCAGCGAAAGGAGATGGAAGAGAGAGAAAATGCCAGGGATAAAAGGAGACAGAGGGAGCTTTCACGGTTGATGGCCACTGTAGTGTCAGGACAGAGACAGCGGCAGGATAGACAGGGAGGAGATCGAAGAGGACCCAGGGTAGATAAAGATCAGTGTGCCTACTGCAAAGAACGGGGACATTGGGCATGGGAGTGCCCAAAGAAGCAAAATCGGAACAGAAATACAAGACCCCAGGCCTCAACTTCTCTCCTAAATCTAGAAGACTAGGGGAGTCGAGGCCAGGAGCCCCCCCCTAAGCCGCGGCTAACCCTACATGTAGGGGGACACCCCGTCACCTTCCTGGTAGATACAGGGGCGCAGCACTCCATTTTGACCAGGTCCCCTGGCACGTTGAGCGGCCGCACACGGCCTGGGTCCAGGGAGCCACAGGAGGGAAGACCTACCGCTGGACCACCGACCGGCAAGTGCAACTAGCGACTGGCAAGGTAACCCACTCCTTCCTCCATGTCCCAGACTGTCCATACCCGTTGCTGGGTAGGGACTTATTAACTAAATTAAAGGCTCAGATACATTTTGAAAAGACTGGGGTTAGCATCACTGACCCATCGGGAAAGCCCTTGCATGTCCTCACCTTGTCCATAGAAGATGAATATAGACTACATGAATGAAGCAAAAAGGCCCCAACCGATATGGAGGGATGGCTACTCAAGTACCCCCAAGCATGGGCAGAGACCGGGGGCATGGGTCTTGCCGATAGCTAGCCACCCATAATTGTGTCCCTGAAAGCGAACGCCATCCCAATCGCCGTGAAGCAGTACCCAATGTCCAAGGAAGCCAGAGAAGGCATAGCTACTCACATCAATAGACTGTTGGATCAAGGGATCCTCGTACCCTGTAAGTCCCCCTGGAACACCCCTCTATTACCCGTCAAAAAACCAGGAACGGGGGACTACAGACCAGTCCAGGACCTCCGAGAGGTTAATAAATGGGTTGAAGATCTACACCCCACAGTACCCAACCCCTACAACCTCCTTAGTGGGCTATCGCCTACCCTCGTCTGGTATACGGTCCTGGACCTCAAGGATGCCTTCTTTTGCTTGAGGCTCCACCCCAACAGCCAGTTGTTATTTGCCTTTGAATGGAGAGACCCAGCTCGGGGAATCTCCGGTCAGCTGACCTGGACAAGGCTACCCCAAGGGTTTAAGAACAGCCCCACTCTCTTTGACGAGGCACTGCAACGGGATCTAGCTGTTTTTCGGGTCCAGCACCCCTCTCTGATTCTACTCCAGTACGTAGATGATTTGCTGCTGGCGGCTATGTCAGAGGAAGACTGTCGCCGGGGTACCGAGACCCTACTCCAGGTCTTGGGGAGTCTGGGGTACCGGGCGTCGGCCAAAAAAGCCCAGCTCTGTTTAAAACAAGTCACCTATCTGGGCTACAAAATAAGGGAGGGGCAGAGGTGGCTAACTGAGGCCAGAAAGCAAACCATTCTAAACATTCCTGCCCCAAGAACCCCCCGACAATTACGGCTGGGGACCGCAGGGTTCTGCCGCCTCTGGATCCCGGGTTTCGCTGAGTTGGCCGCCCCCCTCTATCCCCTCACGTGGACCGGTATCCTCTATAACTGGGGAACAGACCAGCAGCAGGCCTTTGAGAATATCAAACAGGCCCTCCTACACTCCCCAGCCCTGGGACTGCCCGACTTGCTGAAGCCCTTCGAGTTATACGTTGACGAAAGACAGGGCTACGCGAAAGGGGTGTTAACCCAGAAGCTGGGACCATGGAGGAGGCCAGTGGCCTATTTATCCAAGAAACTGGACTCAGTGGCCGCAGGATGGCCACCCTGCCTCCGGATGGTAGCAGCGATAGCAATTCTGGTTAAAGATTCTGGCAAACTGACTATGGGTCAGCCCCTCACCATTCTGGCCCCACATGCTGTCGAAGCAATCATCCGGCAACCCCCGGACAGATGGCTCACCAATGCGAGAATGACTCATTACCAAACCTTACTATTAGATACCGACCGAATCCGGTATGGGGCCCCGGTGGCCTTAAATCCGGCCACCCTCCTACCTCTCCCTGGCACCCCCGAACACCATGACTGTCAGCAGATTCTGGCCGAGGTACATGGCACTTGCCCAGACGTCTCGGACTTGCCCCTCCCCAACCCTGAACACGTCTGGTACACGGACAGGAGCAGCTTCGTGGAGCACGGAGAGCGGCGGGCCGGAGCGGCGGTGACCACGGAAGATCAGGTAATATGGTCCCAAGCCCTACCTGCAGGAACCTCCGCTCAGAGAGCGGAGCTCGTAGCTCTGACCCAGGCCCTAAGACTGGCAGAGGGAAGGAGATTGACGGTGTATACCGACAGCAGATATGCCTTCGCCACGGCCCACATCCATGGCGAAAAATACAGAAGGAGAGGTTTGCTTACCTCGGAGGGAAAAGAGATTAAAAATAAAAAAGAAATACTAGCCTTGCTACAGGCCATCCATCTGCCGCGAGCTCTCATTATCATCCATTGCCCAGGGCACCAGAAAGGGGACACTCCAGTTGCAAGAGGCAACAGGATGGCCGACTGGGCGGCGAGGGCGGCCGCCACCGAGGGAAAATGGGTCGAAGCCCTATCGGTTGACTCTAGACCGCATTATGATGACTCCCGATGGGAATACACGGAACAAGATGTCAAGGCTCTGCGCTCCCTGGGAGCACGGGAAGATCTAAAAACAGGAAAATGGATGCACCAAGGAAAGGTAGTGTTGCCCTACAAAATGGGCCGCCATTTGATCTCCTGGCTGCATCGCCTCACGCATCTCAGCTACCAGAAGATGAAAAAGCTTCTAGAATGGGAGGAAGAGGTTTACTTCTTTCTACAGAAGAACGATCTTCTCAAAGAAATCACTGAACGTTGTGACGCCTGTGCCAGGGTGAATGCTTCTAAGATCAAGCTGCCTCCGGGTATAAGAACCAGAGGTCACAGGCCCGGCACTCACTGGGAAGTAGACTTTACTGAAATAAAACCGGGTAAGTATGTATATAAATATCTGCTGGTTTTTGTAGATACCTTTTCAGGATGGCCGGAGGCATTCCCGACAAGACACGAGACTGCCGCTGTGGTGGCCAAGAAGCTATTGGAAGAAATCTTCCCCCGATACGGAATGCCCCAGGTAGTAGGGTCAGATAATGGTCCCGCCTTCATCTCTCAGGTAAGCAGAACAGTGGCCACCTTGTTGGGGATTGATTGGAAACTACATTGTGCATACCGACCCCAGAGCTCAGGACAGGTAGAGAGAATGAACAGAACGATTAAGGAGACCTTAACCAAGTTAACGCTTGCAACTGGCACTAGAGACTGGGTCCTCCTGCTACCACTTGCCCTGTATCGGGCTAGGAACACGCCCGGATCACATGGGTTGACCCCATTTGAGATCCTGTTTGGGGCCCCGGTGCCCATTGTTAATTTCTTAGGCCCCGATGTTTCTGACTATGCTAATACCCCTTCTCTACAAGCCCATCTACAGGCCCTCCAGCTGGTCCAGAAGGAGGTGTGGGAACCTCTAGCCCAGGCGTACCGGGACCAAAGAGACAATCCGGTCGTGCCCCATCCGTACCAGATTGGAGACGCTGTCTGGGTCAGACGCCATCAGACCAAAAACCTCGAACCTCGCTGGAAGGGACCATATTTGGTTCTGTTGACCACCCCCACCGTGGTGAAGGTTGACGGGATTGCCGCTTGGATCCACGTGAGCCACGTCAAGCTGGTCCGATCAAACGACCCTCAGCCACAAGGAACATGGACAGCCCATCGCACTCAGAACCCTCTAAAGATAAGACTCTCCCGAGTTGTTTAATTATTTTACTGTGCTTTGTGCGAGTAGAGGGAAGCCCTCACACCCCGCAACTCTTAACTTGGCAGGTGTTCTCCCAGACGGGGGAGATGGTCTGGTCTCTCTCAGGCTACCACACGCCGGGTACCTGGTGGCCCACCCTCACTCCCGACTTCTGCCACCTGGCCGCCGGGCTGGAGACCTGGGACATCTCCACAGTCGGGGCCCATGAGATGACTCAAAATATACAGTCTCCCCTGCCACCCCTAGGAAAGACCTGGCCACAAGGATGCCGCAATCCTAGAGCTAGATGTCTCCTGGCACAAATGGACTTCTACGTCTGCCCTCAACAAAGACAGTCTCGAGCCTTAAGATGTGGGGGATACGAGAGTTATTTCTGTGCCAATTGGGGTTGTGAGTCCACGGGGGATGCCTACTGGAAACCCAGGTCATCCTGGGACCTGATTGAGGTACACCGTAATTATTCACGGCCCCCTCTGGGCCGCTTTGACTGTGATTATGGCTCCAGTAGATGGGGCTCTTGATCCTGCAACTCAGCCACCTGTCTCCCCCTCAACATTACCTTCACCCAAAAAGGCAAACAGGACTATACTCAATGGTTAAAGGGAAAAACCTGGGGACTGAGATGGCACATGCCATGGGAAGATAGAGGCGTTATTCTCAAAATCCGTTTGACCGCCCAAACTGGTTCGGCCCCTATCGGGCCAAACCCCGTGCTGGTGGACCAACGGCATCCCTCCGACCCATCCGCCCCTAAGCCAGAATGCCTTCCCTCACTGAACGCCACCAATTCGCCCCCCGCCAGCACCACTGAGGCTGCCCAACCCGGCACGGGGGACCGGCTTATAGGCCTTATCCAGGGGGCCTACCTAGCCCTAAATGGGACTCAACCTGACAAGACTCAGGATTGCTGGCTCTGCTTGATGTCAAGCCCTCCCTACTATGAGGGCACTGCAGTGGTCGGGAACTATTCCAACCACACTTCCCCACCGCCTACGTGTACCGAGGGATCCTCACACCGATTGACCCTAACTGAAGTCTCAGGACAGGGTACATGTCTAGGGAAAATTCCTCCCTCTCATACCCTCCTCTGCAACTCTACCCAGACCTTGGGCCCAGGAACATACTATTTGGCCGCCCCTAATGGCACTTACTGGGCATGCAGCACAGGTATGACTCCCTGTGTATCTGCCGCCTTTATGAACATGTCCCGGGACTACTGTGTCCTAGTCCAGCTATGGCCGAGAATTACTTATCATACCTCAGAATATTTTGTCAGCCAGTTCGAAGAAAGATCCCAACTTCGAATTAGGAGGGAGCCGGTCACATTAACGCTGGCCCTCATATTGGGGGTTGGGGGAATAGCGGCTGGGATAGGCACTGGGGCTAAGGCTCTTTCAGAAACCACCCAGTACCACCAACTACAGACAGCCATGCAGTCGGACATTAGAATCCTTGAGGAATCGGTAACGGCCCTCGAGAAGTCACTCAAGTCTCTGTCTGAAGTAGTCTTGCAGAATAGGAGAGGTCTGGACCTATTGTTCCTTAAGGAAGGGGGATTATGCGTAGCTCTAAAGGAAGAATGTTGCTTTTACACCGACCACACTGGAATCGTGAGTGACAACATGGCCAAGCTGAGGCAGAGATTAGATCAGAGGCAGAAATTCTTAGATGCCCAACAGGGTTGGTTTGAGGGCTGGTTCAATAGGTCACCCTGGTCTACTACCCTAATTTCTGCCACAGCAGGGCCCATAATGGTTCTCATTCTCATTCTGATATTGGGGCCCTGCCTTCTTAACCATTTAACCCAGTTCGTGAAGGATAGGTTCTCTGTCATACATGCAATGGTTTTAACACAACAGTATCAACAACTTAAACAGATGGACCCAGGGCTGACTAAACCACTTGAATGAAGGATTCCATTCAGTCGCAAGAGAAATGGGGGAATGAAAGACCCCTTCCCGATATAGCCTACCAGGAACTGTCTGAGTTCACGCTAAGGTCGAGGGCCCCTGGCGCCTCGAGGGCTTGACAAACAGGATATCAGTGGTCGGCCATCTGAAACTGGGGAGTTTCCCATCCACAATGTGCCCGAGATGAAAGCTAAGTCAGCCATCTGCGACTTCCTTGTATTCAAGCCAGGTGGCCCCAGTCTAACCTCTCACCTCATTAAAATTGACCAATGGAAATCCTGTGACCATGCATCCGCTTCTGTACCCATGCTTTTTGCTATATAAAGCATCCCCGTTCCCCATCTGGGCGCGCTTGGTTCCCGAGACCAAGATGCCCGGGTACCCGTGTGTGTGATCAATAAAACCTCTTGCTGATTGCATCCATACGTGTGGCCTCGCTGATCCTTGGGGGGGTCTCTCAGATTGAAAGTATCCCAGGTGTGGGGGTCTTTCAACTTATGTAAATTATCATATCATCTGCAAATAGTGAAAGCCTGACTTCTTTTCCTATTTGTAACCCTTTGATCTCGTTTGGTGTCTTATTGCTGTAGCTAGGACTTCAAGTACAATATTGAAGAGATATGGAGAGAGTGTACAGCCTTTCATGTTCCTGATTTTAGAGGAAATGCATTGAGTTTCTCTCCAATTAGTTTGATGTTGGCTGTTGGTTTACTGTATATTGCTTTTATTATGTTCATGTATGTTCCTGTTATCCCTGATTTCTCTAGGACCTTTATCATGAAGGGGTGCTGGATTTTGTCAAAGACTTTTTCAGCATCTAGTGAAATGATCATGTGGTTTTTCTTTTGCAGTTTGTTTATATGGTGGATTACATTGATAGATTTTCTAATGTTGAACCATCCCTGCATTCCTGGGATGAAGCCTACTAGATCAAGTTGGATGATTTTTCTTATGTGTTCTTGAATCCCATTTGCTAGTATTTTATTGAGTATTTTTTGCATCGATGTTCATGAGGGAAATTGGTCTATAGTTCTCTTTTTTAGTTGTGTCTTTGTGTGGCTTAGGTATCAAGGTAATTTTAGCCTCATAAAAAGAGTTTGGCAGTGAGCTTCCTGCTTCTATTGTGTGGAATACTTTGAAGAGTATTGGAATTAGCTCTTCTTTGAATTTCTGGTAGAATTCTGCACTGAAGCCATCTGAGCCTGGGCTTTTTTTCTTTGGGAGATTTTGATGACTGCTTCTATTACATTAAGGGTTATAGGTCTGTTTACATGGTTTGTTTGTACTTGATTTAGTTTTGGCAAGTGATATCTATCCAGGAAATTGTCCATTCTCTGGATTTCCTCAGTGTTCATTGTTATGTCCGTCTTTTCCTTTCTGATTTTGTTAATTAGCCTGGTCTCTCTCTGTCTTAGGGTTAGTTTGCACGGAGGTTTGTCTATTTTGTTCATTTTCTCAAAGAACCAACTCTTTGTTTCATTGATTCTTCTCAATGTTTTCCTGATTTCCACTTGATTGATTTCAGCCCTCAGTTTGATTATTTCCTGTGGGGACACCAGACCTTGGGCAGAGACCCACCTCCCCATCAGCCTGGGAGTGGGCAGCTGTAAGACAATGTTTACTAAAAACATGTTTACTAAAAACAATACAATACCCGGGGCAATAAGTTCCTGGAAAAGGCCCACCAGAACTGCCCTGACCTACCTTTTCCAAATTCTAACCACCTCTACTGACACACCCAAGTCAGATTCTAGTGTCAGAGCAGAACCAGCCTGGGGTAAGGAGAGAGCAGAAACTTTTCTGGAGTGAGTTCTGGGAAGTTTTCTTGAGCCTTTTTGGGGCCTGCTTAATGTTTTCTTTACATCGTTGAATGAGTCTCTGTGTGGCAATCCCAGACACACTCAGCACATTCTCGGACATAGGCTGTGCAGCGCGTGTGACAATTACCTGGCATCTGCTCCTCCTGGGTGAGTTTGCTTCTTTTTGTTCTAGAACATTCAGCTGTGCTATTAATTCTCTAGTGTGAGTTTTCTCCAGTTTCTTCATGTGAGCACTTATTGCTATGAACTTTCCTCTCAGCAATGCTTTCAGGGTGTCCCATAAGTTTGGGTATGTTGTGTCTTTATTCTCATTGAATTCCAGGAAGTCTTTGATTTCTTTTTTTTATTTCTTCCTTTACCCAAGGATGGTGCAATTGTACATTATTCAACTTCCATGAGTTTATAGGGTTTCTGTGATTTGTGTTATTTTTGAATTCTATTTTTAATGCATGGTGGTATTGAAAGACCCCGAATTTATAGAAATAAAATATAAGCTTAAACAGGGAGGGCACCCCACTAGAGAACTTGGGAAGTGAACAAAGGACCCCATCCCAGGAACCAGCCATACCACAGAATGGAATGTATGGTCTAGCAACTTTAATTGCAGAAGGGCTGTAAATCCACAAAAGGCCAATTATGGGCTGCCGACCATCTGTGAAGAACTGACCAGGGCGTCAGAGATGGGCAAACAAGACTAGTGGGAAACAAGGAGATAACACTATTTACTTAGGGAGAGATAATTAACTCATGCCAAGGTTTAAGGAATTTACAACAAGAAGGTCAGGAAGACATCTACTTCCCCAGGACAGGAGTCACGTACCCCCTTCCCCCATCATGAGATAGGGACCCCTCCCAAAAGCTTGTGGTTTTTGTCTTTAAAAGCTGATTGTAACTGAACCTCGGGGCCAATTGGTCTAAAAGATGACTGAGAGGCCCATCTGCAGATGCCTAATTAAAGCCTCTTGCGTGTTGCATCAATTGGTGTGTGGACTCTTGATTCTTGGGGTGACGAATCCAGCTTGGGGACCCCTCCTCAATTTGGGGTACCCCAACATTGGAGGTCCCACCGAGATTGTGTCCCCCAGACTCAACTCCACTGCCAATTGGAGGTAAGACTGAGCTCAAAATTTATGTTCTGTGTGTTCTCTCCTGTCTGAGTCTATTCTGGTGCGGGACCTGTATTTGTGCTCTGGGGGGCCTGTATTACCCGGATTTAGTTTTTGCACCCCAGAGACCTGTATTGTGCCCTGGGATGAAAGTTCCAGGGACCTGTATTGTGCCCTGGACAGAGGTGCCAGGGACCTGTATTTGAGCCTCAGATGAAAGTCGTGAGGACCTGAAGTGCCTACAGGACCTGTATTTCGTGCCCCACTGCAATCTCCTTTATAGCCGTGGCCTGTCTGTCATCTTTCGTACTGTTTGTCTTTATCTGTACCCATGGGACAATCTCTAACAACCCCCTTAAGTTTGACTTTAGATCATTGGCCAGACGTCCTGGACCAGGCCCACAATGAAGCGATGGAGGTTCAAAAGAAGAGATAGTGAACTTTCTGTTTTCAGAATGGCCCACCTTTAACGTGTGCTGGCCTAGGGATGGTACCTTTAATATCACCATTATTTTGCAGGTTAAAGCTCAGGTTGTTCAACCCAAACCTCAAGGCCATCCTGACCAGGTCCCTTACATCGTCACCTGAGAAAGTCTGAGCTGCAACCCACCCCCCTCTACCAGGCTGCAGCCAAGGAAAGATCGAACAGCAGGAGGGAGCCAATAAGCCTGGGACCTCCCAGGCTTTCCCACTCTGCTCGATGGGGGGAGGGAACTACCAATACTGGCCCTTCTCCTCTGCTGATCTCTACAACTGGAAAACTCATAATCCTTCTTTCTCACAAGACCCCCAGGCCCTAACAGGTCTCATCGAGTCCATCCTCAAGGGCAGCTACTACCTACAAACTCTCCTCACAACAGAGGAGAGGCAGAGAGACCTACTGGAAGCTAGAAAGAACGTCCAGCCCTACCTAGCTTCCCAATGAGATAGAAGCACACTTTCCCTTAACCCGCCCGGAATGGGACTTCAACACACCACACAGTAGGGAGCATCACCGTCTCTATTGCCAGACCCTGTTGGCGGGTCTCAAAAGGGCAGGGAGATGCCCCACAAATTTGGACAAGGTATGTGCAGTAACTCAAGGTAAGGAAGAAACCCCTGCTGGGTTTCTAGAGCGCCTCATGGAGGCTTACAGAATGTATACTCCTTTTGACCCCCAGGCCCAGGAAAGGAAAGCTGATATAATCATGTCATTCATGGGACAGTCAGCACCCAATATACGCCTTGAGGGGCTGCAGGACTTAGTAAAGGAGGATGAAAAGATTTTTAACAAAAGGGAAGCGCAGGAAGAAAAGGAGGAGAGGCTATGTAAGTTGCAGGAGGAGAGAGAGGACAAGAAAGATAGAAAGCACAATCAGAAATTAACAAAAATTTTGGCCACCGTAGTGCAGGAGTCTAAAAATAGGCCTAGACAGGCGAGAGACCTGGGAGACAAAGCAAGACCAAGCTAATGCAGTTGGGTACCCTTAAACCCTATCATAGTCCATGGAACACTCCCTTCCTCTCTGTGAAGAAGCCAGACACAGGGGACTAGAGGCCAGTGCAGGACCTCCGGGAAGTGAATCAGAGGACAGAGGACATTCATCCAACAGTACCCAACCTGCCTCCAAGCCAAGTCTGGTATATGGTACTCAACCTTAAAGATGCATTCTTTTGCCTCAGACTGAGCCCTCAGAGTCAGCCCCTATTTGCCTTTGAATGGAAAGATCCTGGGACTGGGTTCTCTGGCCAGCTCACATGGACGCAACTCCCTCAAGGGTTCAAGAACTCACCAACCCTCTCTGATGAAGCCCTGCACCAAGATTTGGTGGACTTCCGAGTCCATAACCCCAATATAATTTTACTCCAATATGTAGATGATCTCCTTCTGGCCACAGAATCAGAACATAACTGCTTCCAAGGTACCCGGGTGTTATTACAAAGGTTGGGGGAATTGGGATATCAGGCATCAGCAAAAAAAGGTTCAGCTCTGTAAGAAGCAAGTCACCTACCTAGGGTATCGGCTTCAGGACGGTCAGCGCTGGCTGATGGAGGGACAAAAACAGGCTGTAGCCCTGATTCCCCCACCCAAAAATTCCAGGGAGGTGCATGAGTTTCTGGGTAGCATGGGGTTCTGCTGCCTTTGGATTTCTGGCTTTGCAGAATTAGCAGCCCCACTCTACCCTTTGACTAAAGTTATGGCCCCTTTGTATGGAAAAAGGAGCACAAGGAGGCCTTTGACAATATCAAAGGGCCTTGCTGTCTGCACCTGCTCTGAGTCTCCTCTACGTGGATGAAAGGGCAGGACTGGAAAAAGGAGTCCTAACCCAGCAGCTTGGGCCATGAAAGAGATTGGTAGCATACTTCTCAAAGAAACTGGACAATGTAGCATCAGGATTGCCCCCATGCCTCCGAATGGTGACTGTAGTGGCTGTCCACGCCAAAGATGCAGACAAATTGACTTTAAGTCAGCCACTCACAGTGGTGGTCCCCCATGCAATAGAAGCTGTGGCCCGACAGCCGCCTGGTAGATGACTTTCAAATGCACAAATGACTCATTATCAGGCACTGCTCCTTAACCCTGACAAGTTGTGGTTCGGGGCAGCCACATTCCTAAATCCAGCTTGGGGACCCCTCTTCAATTCGAGGGACCCCAACATCCAAAGAACTCCTACTCCAGTTACATCGATGGACCCACCTTGGACATAAGAAACTCAAAGACAAGAGGAGCAACCTCAACAGCCTCCTTCAACAAATCACCAGTTCCTGCTGTGCTCCCTGCGCCTAAGTAAACACAGGGCGGGCGGCTCAACCTGCCTGAGTCAGAGCAGAGCCACCCGGAACCAACTGGGAAGTCAACTTCACTGAAATCAAACCTGGAAGCCTCTGAAACAGGTACCTTTTGGTTTTCATAGACACTTTTTCAGGATGGACTGAGGCATTTCCCACCAAGCATGAGGCTGCACAAGTGGTGGTCAAGAAAATCCTTAAAGAGATCTTCCCACGGTTTGGGCTACCCAAGGTAATGGGGTCTGGTAACAGACCTGCCTTTGTCTCTCAGGTGAGTCAAAATGGTTTTTTTTTTTTTTTGTGGCCAAAACATTGGAAATTGATTGGAAACTACATTGTGCATGCAGACCCCAAAGTTCAAGACAGGTAGAGAGGGTAAATAGGAAAATTAAAGGGACCTTAACCAAATTGACCATAGGAGCTGGCACTAGAGACTCTGTATGACTCCTACCCATGGCACTGTTCCAGTTCGGAACACTCCTTCAGTGCATGGGCTAACTCCATTTGAGATCCTATTTGGAGGGCCCCTGCCTATCCTGAGTACACTTCCCATAGACCCTAATCATCCTATTGACCCCCCCATCCCTCCAGGCCCAGTTACATGCCCTTCAACTTGTTCAGAATCAGATGTGGAAACCACTGGCTGCAGTATACCAGGCTGGAAATCCCACAGTGCCCCACCCGTTCCAGATCGGGGACTCTGTGTACGTCCACCACCACCAAGCTAAGACTCTTGAACCCCGCTGGAAAGGCCCTTACACTGTGATTCTGATGACCCCCAAAGCTCTCAGTGTTGACGGGATTGCAGCATGGATTCATGACTCTCACGCCAAGAAGGCCGTGGCCAGTGGAGGTTCAGCAGAGGATAAAAACCGCTCAAGCTAAGACTCTCACAAACTGCTTGATTGTCTTGTTATGCTTAATGCTTTTCTGTTTCCCCACCCCAACTGAGGGAACCCCACATGCTCCCCAACAGCTGACCCTCACCCAAGTCTCAGGAAAGGGCACATGCTTGGGAAATGTCCCTAGGTCCCACCAGGAACTCTGTAACCAAACCCTCCTACAACCCAAAACTAATATGGGCTCTATGTATCTGGTACCCAACCCCAGACTATGGTGAGCCTGCAATACTGGGCTCACCCTCTGTCTCCTTAACAGGCTTTTGCAGTTTATATGAGAGAGGTTGTCTATTACCCAGGCCCTCGTCCTAACCCAACAATATCAAGCTGTATCTAACATTGAGGCCCCTAAAAAGTTTTATGATTAAAACTATGCCCTAGAGAAAAGGGAGGAATGAAAGACCCTGAATTTATAGAAATAAAATATAAGCTTAAACAGGGAGGGCACCCCACTAGAGAACTTGGGAAGTGAACAAAGGACCCCATCCCAGGAACCAGCCATACCACAGATTGGAATGTATGGTCTAGCAACTTTAATTGTAGAAGGGCTGTAAATCCACAAAAGGCCAATTATGGGCTGCCGACCATCTGTGAAGAACTGACCAAGGTGTCAGAGATGGGCAAACAAGACTAGTGGGAAACAAGGAGATAACACTATTTACTTAGGGAGAGATAATTAACTCATGCCAAGGTTTGAGGAATTTACAACATGTAGGTCAGGAAGACATCTACTTCCCAGGGTCAGGAGTCATGTACCCCCTTCCCCCATCACGAGATAGGGACCCCTCCCAAAAGCTTGTGGTTTTTGTCTTTAAAAGCTGATTGTAACTGAACCTCGGGGCCAATCGGTCTAAAAGATGACCGAGAGACCCATCTGCAGATGCCTAATTAAAGCCTCTTGCGTGTTGCATCAATTGGTGCGTGGACTCTTGATTCTTGGGGTGACGAATCCAGCTTGGGGACCCCTCCTCAATTCGGGGTATTTCAACAGTCTGATAAGATATAGGGGGTTATTCCATTTTTTTTTGTATCTGTGCAGATTTGCTATGTTTCCTATTATGTGGTAAATTTTAGAGAAGGTTCCATATGGCGCTGAGAAGAAGGTATATCCCTTTGTGTTTGGGTGAATGTTCTATAGATGCCTGTTAAACCCAGCTGAGTCATAACTTCTATTACTTCTTTTTTCTTCTCTTTTTTAGATATTTTTTATTTTTAAATATAAATTTAAATTTGAAATAAGGTTGCTTCACATTTCAATTCCAGGTCCCTCTCCCTTTCCCTCCCCTCCTCCCATGCCCTCTTCACCAACCCCCCCAATATCCCCTCATTTCCCCAGGGAGGGTGAGGCCCTCCATGGGGGTGTCCATAGTCTGTCATTTCATCCAGGGTATGGCCTAGACCCTACCTCAAGTGTCCAGGGTGAGAATGCATCTCTCATTGTTGGATGAGTGACCAAACTTCATTTGTATGCCCAGGATAAATACTGATCTACTACCCAAGGCCTCTTCACTGACACCCACATCCAGGGGGTCTTGATCAATCCCATGCTGGGTTCCCAGGCATCAGCATGGGATTCAAGAGCTAACCCTTGTCTGGTCAGCTGTTTCTGGGGGTTAAACCAGCCCGGTCTTAAACCCTTTGGTCAACAGTTCTACCTCTCTGTCACGGATTACTTGAGTTCAGCTCAGTGCTTACCCGTGGGAGTCTGCCTCTGCTTCCAGCAGCCACTGAATGAAGGTTCTGTTTCCCAGACTCTCTGGCCATGGGATTGTAGGCTGGCACTTCCCAGATCTATGTCTAAAATCCATATATGAGAGAGTACATGCCATGTTTCTCTTTTTGTGACTGGGTTACCTCACTCAGTATGGTTTCTTCTAGTGCCATCCAATTGCCTGCAAATCTCAGGATTCCATTGTTTTTTTTTCTGTTGAATAGTACTCCATTGTATAAATGGACCACATTTTCTCTATCCACTCTTCGGTTGAGGGGCATGTAGGTTGCTTCCAGGTTCTGGCTATTACAAGTAATGTTGCTATGAACATAGTGGAACAGACATCCTTGTTGTATGAAGGGGCATCTTTTGGATATATGCCTACGAGTGGAGTTGCTGGGTCTTGTTTTAGGTTTATTCCCATTTTTCTGAGGAATCTCCATACTGATTTCAAAGTGGCTGTACATATTGGTACTCCCACCAGCGAATGTTCTATAGATGCCTGTTAAACCCAGTTGGGTCATAACTTCTATTAGTTCTTTTGTTTCTTTGTTAAGTTTCTCTCTGGAGGTCTTGTCTAGCAGTGAGAGTGGAGTGTTGAAGTCTCCTACTACTAGTATGTGAGATTTTATATGCGATTTTGGCTTTAGCAATGTTTCTTTCACAAATGCGGGTGCCTTTGTATTTGGGGCATAGATGTTCAAATTTGAGACTTCATCTTGATGGACTTTTCCTTCGATGAATATGAAATGTCCTTCTTCATCTCTTTTGATTGATTTTAATTTGAAGTCTAGTTTGTTAGATATTAGGATTGCTACACCTGCTTGTTTCTTGGGTCCGTTTGATTGGAAAATCTTTTCCCAACCCTTTACTCTGAGGTAACATGTGTCTTTGACATTTAGATGTGTTTCTTCTATGGAGCAGAAGGATGGGTTCTGTCTTCGTATCCATTCTGTTAGTCTTTTTATAGGCAAGTTGAGACCATTGACATTGAGGGATATTAATGACCATTGATTGATGATTCTTGTTTGTGCTTGATTTATTGGTAGTGGAGTTATTGTGTGTAGGTTCTCCTCCCTTTTTCTTTTGATGCTTTGTAAAGTGGGATTATCTATTGCCTGTGTTTTTGTGAGTGTAGCTATCTTTATTGGGTCTAGGTTTCCCTTCCAGCACTTTCATGAAGTCAAGGCAACCACACCCATTTAAAGTAATTCACGCACTTACATTGTCAGAATTTTATTTCAGTATGAACTCTGTGCAACTTTATAAGTTTTAATACTTATATAAAGGCTTTACAAATTTCCATATCTTTATGTTTCCATTATGCATATCTGGGATTTTTAAGTCAAGAACACTGTATAAATGCTATGGCACATTATTTACAATGATATTTTTCTGTCCAGTTTGAACTCTCTGATGGCTTCTAAGATTAGAATGGTGGATATAATACATGCTATAACCTTAACTTTTGTTTAGTTTCTCTGTGATATTAATTTTCTGATGTGCTCCAAGATATGAGCAGCTACTCAAAATCTTCTTACATTCCTTTTGTCCATAATATTCCTTTCCAGTGTGAACTCTCTCAGGTGCACTAAAATATCTTGTGTAGGAAAAAGATTTGCCACATTCCAGATTTTTTTTCACTTTCCTTTCCATATGGACAATCTGATGTGTACTAAGATTTTTCTTGAAGGATAAGGATTTCTCACATGGTGTACATTTGTACAGTTTCTCTCCCGTATGGACCCTGTGATGTTTTTTAAGATTTGACCTCTGGACAATGGACATGTCACATTCTCCACATTTGTAAGGCTTTTCTCCAGAATGAATTTTCTTATGTTTTCTAAGATATGTGAATGTAGCAAAAGATTTGCCACATTCTCCACATTTATAAGATTTCTTTCCTGTATGAATTTTCTGATGTTCGCTAAGATATGTGCATGTAGTAAAAGATTTGTCACATTCCTGGCATTTGTAAGGCTTCTCTCCTGTATGAATTCTCTGATGCACTCTAAGATTTGACTTCAGAGTAAAAGATTTGCCACAGTAATTACATGTGTACGGTTTCTCTCCTGTATGAATTCTTTGATGCTCTGTAAGAGTTGACTTCACAGTAAAGGATTTGTGACAGTCTTTACACGTGTAAGGCTTTTCTCCTGTATGTATTCTCTGATGCACTCTGAGATTTGACTTCAGAGTAAAAGATTTGCCACAGTAATTACATGTGTACGGTTTCTCTCCTGTATGAATTCTTTGATGCTCTGTAAGAGTTGACTTCGCAGTAAAGGATTTGTGACAGTCTTTACACGTGTAAGGCTTTTCTCCTGTATGAATTCTCTGATGCACTCTGAGATTTGACTTCAGAGTAAAAGATTTGCCACAGTAATTACATGTGTACGGTTTCTCTCCTGTATGAATTCTTTGATGCTCTGTAAGAATTGACTTCATAATAAAGGATTTGTTATAGTCCTTACAAGTGTAAGGCTTTTCTCCTGTATGAATTCTGTGATGTACAGTGAGGTATGCAGTAATGAAGCATTTCTTACATTTCCCACACTGGCTCCGTTTCTCTCCAATGTAGTTGCTTGTTGCTTGTTGCCAAAGAGTATTTGTAGTATCAAAACATTCATCATCTTCTCCCTCTCTGTGTTCTTTCTTTTTAGTGTAGAGTCTCTGGTCTTGAGTAATGCCTGAAGTCAAGTCTAAGGGTTTCTCAAAATCTTTAGAATTGCAAGGTTTTTCTCCTGTGTGTACGCTTTCATGTATATCTGTATTTGATAAGTCAAGAGAGGCATCTCCAGGACTACTGCATCTACAGTCATTAGAGGTTTCTGTAGTTTCACTTATTCGAATAAGTGCACATGTGGAGGGGTCATGAAGAATATCCCCAAACTGATTACACCGACAAGACTCTTTTTCAGTCTTCCCATGTTGATGGACAGGATAACATGTGAAATAGTTCTCTGGAAAATGATTAAGCTCATATTAGTAAGGATTTTCCAAAATAAAACATCTGATAAATAATCATCTCTCTTTCTTATCTCGTTAAAAAATGTCAGCCATCAAGCATTTAGAGATGTTTCTCAAACACTAATTGAATGCATTCTCACAAAATCAGACTGATAATCTTCAATGTCAGTGAATTATAACAGACATCTCAACCTTATGAATATGTGTAATCACACCAGATAGATCAGGGAAATGAGGAAGAAATAATTAGCTTTGGGATGTGCTCATTGATTCATTAAATCCAAAATATATGTGTTTCTGTTTAATTCATTCCTCTGAAATTGGATTAAACTCTCCTTCCTCTATCCCAGGTTCACAGTATTACACTATTAAATGAGAGGCAATGAAAAGTAGTGTTCATAAGTACAGATTCCTTAAGAGATTTAAGTCTTACTTAAAAGTATCAAAGAGTTTATTTTTTCTCTAGAAAAACACATTAGATTCTTCAAAAGTAGCAGAATGAAAGGCAGTATACTGGCAGTTATCAGGGACTCAGATAATTTGAGACAGGGCTGTCATAGTCATTGATGGGTTATTTGTATTCTCCATTGTCTGAGATCCATGTGATGGAATGTTTCCTTATCTTTCTTCATATGGTTATTTAAGTCTAGTGGGTACACCACCTCCAAGGAGTATTTTTCAGAAGGAAGGCTGTCTATCCTGTAGTAGTTAGAAAATGAAGGATCGCCCAGCCCCTGGGGCAGGTGGGGGGGGCATGGGAAGTTGGGAAAGAGAGGGAGCTGAGATTTACATGTGAAGCAAGCTTGTTTCTAATTTAATTAAAAAATCTAAAAAAACTGAAAAAAAGAAAATGAAGGATTACTATAAAAACAGACATCAAGGAAGGCTATTAAAATAATAATTTTTCATTTACCCACATTAGGCTTATAATTTGGGAAATTATTTTAATCTGATGTCAAGAACTTTAAATCAAATTGCATGTTGTACTAGTATTCTCATCATAATTCAGGCATTATGGGCTCTTGTTGTAGTAGTTACACAGACAGGATGCATCCTTGTACCAAGAATCTACACTAAATTAAATGATCAGGAATGCTTTCAAGTAGAATTGAATATGGCAAAAACCATACTCACCTCTTGCCTTCTCTTTTGCCAGAAGCCATTATTCCCAAGCCCACTCTGCTTTCTCTCCTCTCTATATCTCAGGGGAATCTCATTTGCTTTCAAAAGGTTACCACTCATACCATGCATACAATAATCCACATCTTCTATGAAGTACACCTGACCCATGTGCAATTTTGAGAAAGAATACAGACATCTAACAAAATACTCTCCTCAGCAAATAAAGAGAACACAAAGCAGAGGAATATAGGGATGTCTTCCTGTTGCTCTTTCTTGTCAGAATCTTTAACAAATTAAGGAGAATGTACACTATGCATACCTTGAGATTTTTCTTAGTATTGTACCATGTCAGGTACAACTATAGACACAGAGATTTACTATATGTGTGTAAATAGTACATGATACTAATTCTCTGCCACAACTGTTGCACAGCCTGTGTCCAAGAATGTGCGGAGAGTGTCAGGATTGATGACACAGAGACCAGTCGGTGGTGAAAGAAAGCTTCAAGTAGGCTTCCAGAAGGCCTCAAGAAAGCTTCCAAAAGCCCCTCCAAAAGCTCCTCTTTATTCTTACCCTGCCTGGTTAATATATTCTCTGACACCAGAGGTGGTGTTGGGGGTCAGGAAGAGGCAGTTAGTCATTGGAAAAGGTCAAGGTCAGGGTGTTCCCGTGGGTGGGCCCTTATCAGGAGCTTATTGCTCCAGTAAACATTTCTTATGGACACCGTATTGTTTTTAGAAAACATGTTTTCAGTAAACATTGTCTTACAGCTGCCTGCTCCTAGACTGATGGGGAAGTGGGCCTCCTGCCAAGGTCTGTTGTTCCCACAATTTCTGAATGCATTATGGAATCAAGATGTGGCATGGTTGACACATTTTACATGGAAAATAGAAAGGAAAAATGAAATATTGTGAAAAGGTTCTTTTCTTCTTCCAAAATTTCCATGGATTCCTGCTGTTTCTAAGGCAACTTCACATTGAATTTACAACCAATAGTGCCAATACATACAAGGGATCACTAGTTAGGAATTCTACAAGCAAAATGTTCTTACCCACAGAGACCAGGTTGTTGTAATTCTCCAACATCACATCAATGCACAAAATCCTCTGAGCAGGGTCAAGGCATTGCCACTCCTCTTGGGAGAAGTCCACAGACACATCCTTGAAAGTCAACAGACTCTGAAACAAGAGAATTGTTTGACCATGTGTTAATAGACAGAGTGCTTTTGAGTATATTGTTACAGTTGAGGGAATTAAGGATGTAAATGATGAAGACATGTAATCAAACTCATGATTTCCATATAGGCACTTTGTATAATGGATGTTCTAGGTTTGTAAAAACTGTATGACAAAACAGGCTCACAAGCAGTATAAACAAAACTACACACATTCAAGGTCTGGACGTTGTTATGTATCTGTTGCAGATAGTGTGATTATGTCCCACAGGATCAGAGTGTGCATGAAACATAAGGAACACTTATGGTGAGGAAAAGTGCTTTAATTGCTGTTCCTGTAGATCATGGCAATATACTGCCCCTCACTCAATTCTGCAAATTCTTTGATTTTTACATGATTCTAGTCTAACATGCTCAGTTCCTGTGTTTGAACCTCACATCCCTTGCCATTCCGTTACACAGGAGAGTGGTAGATATGGAAGGTATAATCCATGGTTGAGTTCACAGGCAAATAATTTTCTCTTTTTTCCTCAGTATCTCTGTGTGTGATAACATTGGATATTGTTGCTTTAAACTTTAACATATAAAAACAGGTAACCTATGCGCTTACTTCTACAAATACTTTTCAGTCACTAGAAGCAGACAGAAAAGGTCACATCAACCACTTTTAACATAATGTAAAATTTACCTAACAAAATAAGACTATAGCAACTTACATGGAATAACAATTTCAGATATTTGGAAGAATATTTAATTTCTGCAGAGTTCTAAAAATTGAGAGAAGTCCTGTGACAGGATACTTCCTTTCACTGCGTGCTTGACCATGTGTGCATGTTTTGCCTCAACCTTCTTAATGCACCTGATTGGTTTAATAAATAGCCAAATGACCAGAGTTTCATGGAAAGAGAGAACTCAGGAAGAATCTAGTGGGGAAATAGATGCCAGAAAAGTCAATCACAAATTATAAGAAAGGAGGACAGGTAAAAGCCACATGACAGAACATAGATTAATAGAAACAGGTAAAGATGAGTTATAAGAGATAGCTTGGAAGAAGCCTAAACTAAAAGGCAAGTTTTCATAAACAACAAAAGTCTCATTGTCAGCCGTGAGTTGGTGGTGCATGCCTTTAATCCCAGCACTTGTGAGACAGAGGCAGGTGGATCTCTTTGAGTTCAAGGCCAGCCTGGCCTACAAAGCAAGTTCCAGGAGAGCCTCCAGGATAATACAGAGAAACCCTGTCTCGTAAAACAAACAAACAAACAAACAAAAAAACAACCAATAAGTCTCATTGTCATTATCACAGACTTGGTGGTCCCACAAGATAAATCAAAGTACAGTCTCAAAAAATATATCCTATGATGTTTAAGTTGTACTAAGCAAGTACTCAGAATTATAAATGTGGATTTATTCAGAAGTGACATATATTTAATGTAAGCAAAAGAATATAGTAAATTCTGTGAGAAATATCATCACCTAGTCAGTGCTTTTGAAATGTTACAGAGCACAGAAGAACAGCTCAAGAATAAATTTGGGCTTTTTTGCATCTGAATTTTGTAGTTGTAATGTGTTCCTTTTTAGTACTTATGCCATATTATCTAAAAGATTTTATGTTATTAGTGTTTATGATTTTTTCTTTATTACTCTGGAAGTGCATGGCAATGACACATTCTGTCTGAAACATGAAGAAGGTATAAATGCAAACCTGTTGGTCAGAGCCCATTCCCCAAGTCTCCACTTTAAAACACTGTAGCTTCAGGGTAGGGGAGGAGAGCCATGACCCTCACAGCAACTGACTAGAACAAAGCAATCGTGAGGAAAGTTCTTTATGCATTAAACCTGATGGCTTCTGCACATCTATCATTCAATCCCATCAAGATATTATTCCTGGTGCATTCCACATAATGCTGTATAATGATTCCCCACCATGAAAACCTGCATAGTGGGATTCTATGGGGGGGTGAAGACTAATAGAAATACTAATCTCTGGCATAATGTGGTGGTATATGCCATTAATCCCAGCACTTGGGCACAGAGACTTGTGGATCTCTGTGAATCTGAGACCAGACTGGTTTACATGCTACTTCTCGGAGAGCCAGGGATGCACAGAAGGATTGATTTCCAAAACAAAACAAACAAAAAACCAAAACACTGTTCTCTGTAGCTTGGGTAGTTACAACTGAACATCCTAAACATGTGAGTGGTGGGAGGAGCAAATATCCTGAGACAACTAGATGGCAGGTGTGAACAAATACATGGATATATCATCACTACTATGTGATGGGGGAAGTCCTTGCGTATACGTTGTCTCATTGGTTGATTAAATAAAGTACTGTTGGCCAATAGGGAAGAAAGATAGGTAGGAATAGGAATCAAGGAGGATTCTGGGAAAAAGAGGCAGAGTCAGTCACTATGTAGTTCACAGGAGAAATAAGATGTCCACACCCTTTTCTCCGGTAAGAAAAGACCATGTGGAAATACTCAGATTAGCAGTTATGGGTTAATAATTAAGTCAGAACTAGCTGATTAGAAACCATAGCAAACAGCCAACATCTTCACAGTATAGTGTTTCCTGTGTTATTTGGGGGCTGAGACAGCTCGGGACAAACTGGAATATCATGCAGTTGAAGAGAAAATGTCAACAAAATTTTCTGTAAAATGGACATTGAATGTGCACTATTAAGTGAAGTCACACATTGTCAGAAAGAAGAAATCACATTTTTCTCATGCACAGAAGCTTGTCAATAATATGTGTATATGAGAAATAACATGCATGAAAGCACACCATAATACTGAGGAAAGCAAACAAAGACTGAATATCAAGGTTGGGGTAGGACTGAATAAAGGTAATCAACACCACTTATAAAATCATATGTATATATATATAAGCATATATATATGCTCTTCTACCTCTAATTCTATCACAGTTACTTTTATTTTCTGTTGGATAACTTGGTAAATATATATTCAATAACCAATGTGTAAAGCTCCTTTTGTAAGACTCCAGAGGTTCTCTTCTCAATGAATAGTCTTACTAAATAAAAGTACATTTTTTGTTCAAAGTGTGGGTCTGATTAATTGCAGAGTGTTTTTTTGTTTGCTTGTTTTTGTTTATTTGAAACAATTTTCATAATAAAATTTAAAATATTACCATCAGCAAAAAATTAATGACTTACAATATCTGAACATATATAATTTCTAGAAAAGTGGACATGTCCACTGACCTGGGATATGGTTACTGGAAATTCAGTCATTTCTGTTTTTTTCCTTTGAGTTTCTCTTTCAGGAACAATGAGTAGATAGATGGCTTGCTCTCCTGTCATATAAGGGAGAAAAGAAAAAAAGAAAAAAATTAATATTGAGAGCTGTTAGAGAAAATGTCAATTCACATGAAAAATCCCAAGCAACCAAAATACTATGTGTTCAGACAATGATCCTAAATCCAGAGAACCTTGGTTGACATCTAAAGGTTGAAGGGAAAATCAGTATCAACTATATTATTACATTTGGAAAAAACATCTATCTTAAAATTGATAGAGGCATAAGTGAATTTCAAGATACTCTAAAGTTAAGATAATTCATTTCACTAAAACAGTTTTGCAGACAATAATTAGAGGCAAAATTTATACAAGAGAATCAGAGGATTTACCTGTGAGAACATGTGAAAAATAAATTTCAAATACATAAATCCTCAACTTAAGTAAATTTAGCAAGTCATCCCAGCCCTTTGATTCCTTGACATATTCTCAAAGGACTTAGCATCCTTCTTCACAGGTACTTGTTCAGGCATATTTATTGTTCTCTATTATATGTGTAAAATGAAACATCCTAAATGTCCCCGGATTGGACAAATGGATAGTGAAAATGTGCTACACATACAGTATGAAATACTATTCAGCTCTAAAGAAATTGAAATCAGGATCTTTTCAGATAAATGGATGGACTAAGAAAAGATCATAATGAGTGGAGAAACCCATACCCAGAAGGACAGAGATTGCATCTTCTCTCTTATAGGAAGTTCTTATAGGAAATCTTTAGATGTGACTGCACAACATTGAGTAACTTTAGGAACCAGAGATGTAAAATGAGACCACTGTGAGGTAAGACAGAATAATAGACATAATAAAAATTGGGAACAAGGGGCTAAAAAGGGGGAAACTATAATAAAGTGTGTGTACGTGCATGCATGCGTGTGTGAAAAGTATGGAGAAGGGAGAGACATAAACACAGGTGAGTGAAATGTCAGTAATGATCTCAGGAAAAAAGTCATAAGGAATCTTACTGTTATCAACCACCAAAAATGCCTACAATACACGTATGTCTCTGTAAGCATGTTCAGTTAGAGCATAAATGAAAATTTCCCATCTCAGTTCATGATTCTCCTCACAACAGTCACAGATTTTCTATCAAACCACCCACAGCAGCCTGCTTTGAAGTTATTGGTCACGGCTGTCCTTGAGAATCCAAAAACAGTACAGGCTACTGGGGTTGTCCACATTTGCCTCCCACAGGTGAGTCCCTACTGCTGAAGAAGCCATGTGCTACAGTCACAGCCAGAGGACTTGAGACGGACCAGAATTTAAATACTCTTCCCTGAGGAGATGCAAGGGAGACTGCAAAGAAACTATTGTTACCAAAAGAAAGCAGAATGCAATTGTGCAGCATCCATTTTCAGTTTAAAAAACCCTGACGGCTGGGCGATGGTGGCACAAGCCTTTAATCCCAGCACTCGGGAGGCAGAGGCAGGAGGATCTCTGTGAGTTCAAGGCCCAGCTGGACCGACAGCCTCCAAAACAATGCAGAGAAATCCTGTCTCATAAAACCAAAAAAAAAAAAAAAAACGAAAACAAAAAAACCTGAAATCAGGCTGTAGGCATTGACTCTCCTCCTGTGGGAAGTCAACAGTCACACCACTGGACCTCAACAAACCACACAACTGAACACAACATGTTTTATAGCCAAAAATCTAGTTAGTCTTAATAAACCCAGAGTCAGATATCACTGCTAAGGTTGAAAAATCATAGAAGTTAAACAGACTGCCCCTAATGAGACTTCTTACCTCTACTGAATCCTCAGGCCTAACGGGTGAGATCCAGTTTCTAGGAGTTCTCAGACTGAATGGGCTGAGGTGTGCATGCTCCTGCCTTATATACCTCTCTCCACCCAGACAAATTAACTCCTGTCTCCACCTCCATAGTGCTTGGATTAAAGGTGTGTAACCCACAAGTACTGGTATTAAAGGTGTGATATCCATTTCCCATTGAGACTGATTTAAACTCTGGTAGTCTCTGGTGGCCTTTAACTGCTGTAAGCTTGTTTTCTCATCCCTTGGACTGGGATTAAGGGGGTCAGCCTCCACTCCCTGGCTTCTATGGTTTACTTCTCCCTAGCCCCCAAGCTTCAACAATTGTTTTGAGGCACACCTTTAATCTTAGTCCTCGGGAGACTGAGGG